ATTGTAAGGCGAGCTTCGCTCGCAAATATAAGTCTTATAAGACTTATTTAACGTCGAAAGCTCTAGGACTCCTAGTAGTACTTTATTTACGTTACGTTATTTTTCGTCTCCTAGATATCCTATACGTTAATACTAAAGTAGTATAGTACCTTTAGTCGTAGTAGTAGCTACTCTCGAAGTCCTAATAGATCCGGATTCCTTTAGATCGTAGGGTCTTCCGGCGCGTACGCCTTTAGCTAGTTCTTCGTTTCCTCTTCGAAGTATAACCCCTTCTTTAGTAAATAGAGTCGTAATACCTCGTTCCGAGAGTTAGCTTATCGAAAGTAGGTTATTACCGATCTCGGATACGTATATAACGTCCGGGATCGTAGTCGGAATTCCTTTAAACCGGACGAGGATTATACTAAATCCTACGACCTTTATCGTTTTACTATTCGCTAGAGTAACTTTTCTAGTTTCTTTCTTATAGTCCGTAAAGTAGTTCTTATTATAAGATATATATCTAGAATATCCGAAGTCTAGAATCTAGTTCCCTTTATTAGAAAGTCGGGTCGTAGATTCGATAGCCGTCTAAGCTACGATCTTTAATTCTTCCTTAATATTTTCTTGGATTTTTCTATTCTTTAGATCCTATTTATGCTTCCTATAGTCGGGTTAAAGTGCCCGATCTTTTAGTAGTAATAATACGTCTTTCCTTTATCTTTATTAGGCCTATTAGCCGTATTACCCTTGTTTCCGTTACTAGCCTTATCTTTTACTAAATTCTTAGTATATCGGGCTACTACTTTATCGTTTTTAGAAGTCGTAATAGTATATTTAACGTCCCGTAGTTATTAAACTAGTTCCTTATAGGAAAGAGTAGATAATCCGGCCGCCTTTAAGGTAAATATAGTAGACGAATACGCTTCTTCTAAGGACGAAATAAGGACTACCTTCTTAGATGCATCCGAGAGAACTTTGTCTCTATCTACGGACTTAATCTCGGATTAGATTTACGTAAGAGCTAAAGCCGTAGTATCGATATCCTTAGGGGCCTTAAAAGAGTAGAAACGGGAGAGTAGCGTCGAAACCCGTTCCTTAGTCGATACCTCGCTTACTTCTTTTATCTTTTTAATTACCTCCTTAGTCGTACCTAGTCCTAGGAGGTATATACGCTTATCCCTAGCTATAGACTTAATAAACGTAACCGATTTTACGTTTTCTTCTTTAGCTTTACTTAGCTTAGCCGGATCTCGGGTTATAGATTCTAGTATACCGTCTCTATATATATAAATGCCTTATCTAGATAAATAGTCTTTAATTAGATCGATCTAGATAGTATAGTTCTCGGTAACAAGTTTCGGAATTCCCTCTACCGCGCCGATAGTCGTCTCGATAGTAGATATCTTTATCGTTAGATTTCGCAATTTATACTAGTTATACCGTTAAGATTTTTAGATTAGTTTATTTAAATTAGTCGGTCCTTTTTACCTAGAGACTAGCCTCTATAGCGGAGTAATAACCGTTATTTTATTATAGTTCGAAGTTCGCCGCTTTTTCGATTTATAGAGTAATATCGTATAAGGTTTAAGCTTATGTAAGCGGACTGCCTAATTAGATAATTCCTCGAACTTCCTCGCCTCTTTACTAATAGTCTACGCCTATAACTACTATAGGTAAGCGGTAAACCGATAGAATTACTTACTATTTAAATAGAGGACTTACTAGCTACTTATATACCCTAGCGCTAAGAATTATATACTATTACTTAGCCGTAAGTAAGTAATCTTTTAGCCTCTTTCTCCTTCTCTTACTTATAAATCTAACTAGCCTCGTATGTTCTCAAGTATTCTAATAAGCTTAATATATTAAGATAGGCTAGCTCTACCTACTACGACTACCCTTATAAGAGGGACTATAGTAGTAAAGGCCCTAAGTAAGGGTCGCCTTAACTAGCTTCTTAGACGGTAAGTACGTCGGCGATTAGATTATCCCTAAGCCACTAGACGTCGTAAGGCATTAGGATGTTTCTAGCCGGATTACTATCTCCGGCCGTAGACCTAAGCCTATCGCGAACCCTTAGAGCGAGATCGTTAAGGAGGGGCTACTCGAACTCGTAGCGAATTAGGATATAGCGTAGATATAATAGGGTACGCTTACTCTAGGATAGCGGCGTCCTCCTCTACGGAATAATCTAGTCCTAGGCTAGCGACTCGGTAGAGATAGTAGTAACTATAGCCTTCTAGGCCTAAAACTAGGCCGAAATACTTTAACTTACTTATCTAGCTATTTTTGAAATTAAAAATTTACTAGGAAGGCGTCGAATTACTAAGGGAATCTCTCTCTAAAGAAGCGGTTCTATACCTAAGTCTCGAGGAGCCTATACGCGGTCTATCTAACGTAGTTCTCTAGCTAGACTTATAGTTAATTTAGTCTTACGGCCGTCCGCTTAAGCTATAGAAATAGGCTCTCTCCTTTTATAAAATAAGCTATAGTCTTAATAAATATCTAGTTAATAACGAAAACAAGACGCTACTAATTCGGTAGAATATCCTCCTTATCTAAAATCCTAGACTTAACGTTATTAATAGTATCTAAGAATTCTACTTCTAGTATAATAGTCTTACTAGTAAGGGTCTTAATGAAGATCTATATACTAACTACTATATAGACGAAGGATAAGATAGAGTATAGATTCCTTCTAGATATTATAGTTAGAGAGGATACGGGCGGCCGTCCTCGAGTTACTTACTAGCAAAGATTAAGCGCTACTAGTCTAGTAGGATACCCTTCTTACTCTAAATCTTACTCTTAACCTTATTAATAGTCCTAGAGGACTTAATCTCGAGGCTAATAGTCTTACTAGTAGGAGTCTTAATAAAGATCTATATACCGTAAAGGGAAGCGAAGCGTAAAAATAAGAAATACTTAAAGGGTAACCTTTAAGCCTATAGCCTTAATATAGCTAAAGAACTAAAACAAAGCCAAAGGGCACTCCGAGTATCTTTATATACTCCTACTCTCTAATTCGTCTTATATAACGGATTAATAGGCAGATTGTATCTCTATATACTCTAACTCTCTAGTATGTCTTATATAACGGATTATAAGGAAAAGCTATTACTACTTAAATTCGGTGTCTCCGCTTAGTCTTCCTAATAGTATTACTTATATATAAATTGTTTTACGCCTAGTTAGATATTAATTAGCTTACCTAAAGATATACTCGTTAATAAGTTAAGATTATAAAAAGCGAGTACCGTTAGCCGTATAAAATTATAATAATAATATTTAGCGGTAGAATATTAATAGTTATATACTCGCGAGAATAAATACCTTACTTAAAATAGGCTTATCTACTACTAAAGGAGAAACTACTAAGCATACAGGAATTCGATTCAGAGCGTTCGGAAGACCGCGAGGTACCGGCTATAGTAGAGAGTAAGATTAGGAAATTAGTACAGCTTAACCATCAGAATTACGTAACTAATCTTCTCTTTCGGTATTTTATTCAGGCTTACATACAGTAGGCACACGAGGCTAAGAAGCAAGATCTAGCAGAAGTAGGCTTTTAGCGGTATAGTATAGGCAAGTAAGCTTCGGCGAAGGAAAGGCGTATATAATAAGGAGCCGAGAAGTTATTAGATAGGAGAAGATATAGCTATTAAGTAAGAACGGGAGAATTAGTACTATTAACTAAGCCTACGATAACGAGTATCTATATATATAGGCCTATAAGAGTATAGCTAAGTATACGCCCTACTTTTACTAGCTTAACCTCGACTTTCTAATAATTCTAGTATAGATACTAAGAATATATATAACGACTACCTACGTATCTCTAGACCTTGTCTTTCGATAAGCTACTTAATATAATAAGTCTATATTTAATCTACTTTCTCGTATATTAGGTAGAATAAGACGATACTCGAGTATATAATCGGCAGTTTATACGGCTTTAAGCGTCTAGTATTCGACTATATATTAGGCTTACTTTACGTTAGTAGAAGTTCTAGTTAGGTACTAGGTAATTCGAGATATCGTAAAGAAGTAAGCGGGTTAGCGAGGTAATTATATACTAGTAACTAGAGCGGCCGAGCGATTTTGCTCTCGTATATTTATTTTATAATTCGCGAGTCCTCCGGAAGGTTCCTATCCTCGCTAATACTTAGATACTAGAGATAGGCTATCTTCTTTTAGGCGCCCCGCTCTTATAGGCTGCTTAGACCTTCTAATAACCTATATTTCTTCCTTCTATAAGTAACTATCCTTATATTATCTTATACTATACTATATTTAGGTTAGCGGTTTAAGCGAAGCCTATAGCGGAGCGCCTAAAACCAAACCGTTCGTCCTCTATATAATTGCCTATAGAATTTTAGCACTTTTTAATATATAGGATAACAACTATATTAGACGAAGACAAACGTAGAAAAAGGGTCCTACGCCTTAATTAGAAGATTATATATTCCTATATAAAGCATTCGCTAATATAAGTACTATAGGCTCTATCTTCTATATACTAAGGCTAGTTATCTGTAGAATCCTTTTAAAATGCGAAATTTTAGCGGCTCTAAGGCTAAGACACTATAATAACGTATTGTCTTTATATACTACGATAGCCGAGGCCCTTCTAGTAGACGATAACTCGGACCTCTAAGTATCTAGATTATTATTATTAGCGGGAGGTATATATTATAGAGCTAGAGGGTAAATACTAAGACTTTTATCGCAATTCGCTTTTCCTCGCGTTAAGTAGTACGCGATAATAATACCCCGTCGTATTCGCTCTTAGAGTTAGAGGGCCTAGTTAGATACGTTACGATAGACCTTAGCTACTTAGATTATAATATTATTATAGAGATAGTTATATTATAGCCTCCGAGGGCAAATAGCTATATTCTATATACAAGTTTAGCCCGGTTTATTCTTAGGCTTATAGGAGAAGAATTAGTTAGGTATCGTTAAAATCTCGTAAAAGTCTAATTAAAGCTTAATGAAATTCTTCGTTACGTAATTCTTTATCCCGCAAGCCTGAATAGAGGTAGGAGATGGGATCTCGGCGCTTCCCGCCCGCCCGCCCGCCCGCCCGCTCTGCCACTTGTACTCGGCGTGGCTTCGTAGCCTCGGCTGCAACACCTCCAGCAGTGACAGTGGCAGCGACTTCGTGCTGTTTGTCTGCCCTGCCTTGCCCTCGACAGTCGCAATGCATCTCCGGAGCCCATCGCAACTTATAGAGAGACATGAATCTCAGCAACAATTACTCACCGTGCTTGAAGTCCACCGTAGCCAGCATACCAGCGCTGATTTGATCCAAGTCTGCTGAGTATTATGAGCGGAACGTCAAGCTTGCCGCTATGAATCTTACCAGCTCGATAGATGCCATGTGGCACAAGACTCACTCATCGCTGATCTACAGACAGATCTCTCTCTCCATTATGATTTTCTTCTCCTTGCGTGAGCTCACCATCATTATTACCATTGTCGATGAACCCTACACTAAACTCCTGACTCCACAAACCGAAAATTCTCACACCATCGCCATCATTACCATCACCATCATTACATCACCCTCATCGATGAACCCATCCCAGACCCCCAACTCCCCAAACAAACCGAAAATTCTCCCACCTCAGCACTATCATTATCACCATCATCAGCGAACCCCATCCCAAGCCCCCAGCTCCCCAAACCTAACGTTCTCCCACTTCACCATCCTCCTCTTCGCTCTGCCTCTCCCTCTCCATCCTTCATCATCCAAACTCATCACCTCCACCTTGCCCGTATCCCACTCACACTCCCCAACAATCTCATACCTTCCCATCTTCAATGGTCTCCCACTCTCACATTCTCCCGGCCGGCTCTTGCGCTTCCGCATCTCGACCTTCCAATCCTCGAGAGCCGCGGCGGTGACATGCGATTCCGGTTCCCAGGAGTAGGGCCAAGGTGTTTTTTTGCTGTTGGGTTGGTGGCCGGACCAGGAGATGAGGTATTGAGCCTCCGCCTCACCTTCAGCGTTGTTGGTGTTTGAGCTTGGGTTCTTTTGGCGAAGGATTTTGTCGATCTGATACCATGTTGAAGAAGAAGGCGAGGCGGTGTTGCGCTTCTGCTTGTCGTTCTGCCTGTGCTTTTCGCCCTGCTTCTGCTTTTGGGGCTGCTTCTGCTTCTGCTCTTGCCCTTGCTTCTGCTTCTTGGGTGCGCGCGGCCGAGTCGTCGTGGTTGGGTTGGGTGCTACGACTATGACTGATTCGTCTTCGTCTTCCGCCTCTTTCTCATGTGCTTGTGGGCGAGTCGTTGGGATTGTGTGGGATCCGAAGGCTGTGGTGGACGCGTCGTCCGCGACTTGTGTACTCGGCGATGTTGTGATGGTGTCTTCGACTTCCGATTCTTCCTCAGGTGCTTGTGGGGGAGTCCTTGGGATCGTATGGGATGCGAAGACTGTGGTGGACGCGTCGTCCGCGACTTGTGTGCTGGGCGCTGCTGTGGTGGGCGCTCCTGTGGTGGGCGCTGCTGTGGTGGGCGCTGCTGTGGTGGGCGCTGCTGTGATGGGCGCTGCTGGGATGGTGTTGTCGCTGATGGTGTTGTCGGCTACGCTCATGGCTTTCGGGCTGCGCGTTTTGGTGGTGAATGGATCGGCGGCTGAGTTCATGACTTCCGCGCTGGCCGCAGTGCTGTTGGTATCTTCTGCGAGACCAAGACTGAGGACTTTCGGGTCCATGCTGTTTTGGTGAACGTTGCGACAAGTCTTTGCTGTTGGAGCTTCGTTCTCCTTCTCGTCATCGGAGGTGATTATGGTGTATGGGTCGCGGCGCTGGCGGCGATGTCTCCAGACCCTGTGGTACGTGACCTTGGGCGTCTTGAGCTGGCGCTGGCTCGGGATTGGCAAGTCGCGGGAGCCGACGCTAGCGCCGCCTGCTGGCCGCTTCAATGCACCGCTCGACATCCAATTCGGGCTTGGAGGATCCATGTCGTTATCAATGGCAGGGTATTATGTGCAAGAGAGTAATACCTGGCGTTGTTGCATTGTGCATCAACAAACTTTCTGTGACGCGACGCGAAGAGGATCGAATGAGGCGGAGCGGCAGCGGCCCTGCCCGAGCGGGCCACCCTACCCTTGTATCAAGCTCGCTTATCCGACTTTGCGGAGAAAGCGGCGCTTACTCCGTGGCCTTTCCTCAGTGATGTGAAATGCTGCCAATCTGTATACCTACACCAACACCAACACCGACCCCCACACGCTTCGCCGCCCTGTCTGCATACCAAGGACGACCTTTTTGCATGGCAATGGGAATGCAAATGGCGCTCCATGATGCGACTGCCCTCGCCAGAGCGCATGCACCGCTCCGCGTGCAAAGACATGTGGCTGCGAGGCACTGCAAGACCGGCAAGCGACATGCCGCCACCGTATCAGACGTGTATGAGCATGAGTCCGGCGGACGCGACGCGACGGGTTCCATCTCTTGTTTGCAGCCTCCCATCTCTCCTTTGCAGCCTCCCACCTCTCCTTTGCAGTCTCCTCCCTCTCGTCTACAGTCTCCAAGCTTTCGCAAAGTCCACTTCCACTCCCCTCAGCCCTTCTCTGCTGAATTCCTGGCACTCCTTTGCGAGCGCTTCGCAGCCCGCAGCCCGCAGCCAGGCAATTCCTGGTGATCATCGTCACCACCATCCAAGCCATCGAGCCACGGCTTTGCACTCGCCCGCTCCGACTGCAACATGGCCGAGCCAGACCTCTTCTACATGAGCGGCGAAGTGGTATGTCTCGAACACTGCACACTCATCCCCCATCACTCATCCCCCATCACTGATCCCGTCTTGCTCCAGTGGTATGGCCCAAAGAGCTACGAAAACAAATCCAATAACCTTCGGCCAGCCGAGAGGGACGC